ATGGGTCAGGATGATGGCGGGTGGAGGGAGGTGACAAAATGTTATCCTCATGGGAAAGAGACTATTTAGACTTAACTTATATCTCCAGCTTTCTCTACCCAAGTGAATCTCTTGTCTTTGTTTCACTGGAGTCAGAAAGTTAATAAAAATGTACTGGAATAGGAAAAGATGGTCAAATATTTATTGAAAATTTAAATGTGCTACTTAAAGATATGTGTGGCTCTAGAGGTGCCTTAAAGGCAATATATTTTTATTCAGGGGGAAACCTTTACTCAGAACTTTATTTGAGTTTGACATCCCACTTGAGTGATATTTAAATAAAAGTAAAATAGAAAATGCCTCTTAGGAAAAGATGGCCTAGTTTCAGCATTTCTCCTATATTAATTCAGAGGGCTCATTTTAACATTGCCCACAGGATAAAGTGTAAATTTCTTACCTCCACATGCTGACCTCAATCCCTGAAGCATTATACTTCAAATTCTACCTCCATCACTTCTTTTCTGAAGTCAGCAAATCTATAAAGCACATTTATTTCTCCACGTCTTTGCCCTTGCTGTTCACTTGGTTTTTTTTCTGTTGAAATGTTACGTATCCTTCAAGTATCAGCCCTCTTGGGTGAGTTTCTCTGAGAGGGAATTCTCTGGCGGTCCAGTGGCCAAGGCTGTGTGCTTTCACTCCTGAGGGCCTAGGTTCAATCCCTGGCTGGGAACTAAGATCCTGCAAGCTGAGCTGTGCCTCGTTGCTCATTTGTGTCTGACTTTTTGCCACCCCATGGACTGTAGCCTGCCAGGCCCCTCTGTCCATGGGATTCTCCAGGCAAGAATTCTGGGGTGGGTTGTCATGCCTTCCTCCAGGGGATCTTCCCGATCCAGGGATCAAGCCCAGGTCTCCTGTGTGGCGGGTGGATTCTTCACCGTCTGAGCGACCAGGGAAGCCCTGCAAGCTGAGGGACACAGCCAAAAACAGGAAAAAAAAAAAGAGAGAGAGAATCATAGCTGTTTTTCCCTCTCTCCATCTTTTATTTGTTCTTCATTAATAAATTAACTAATTTGTTTTTATTATAAATAAATAAATTTATTTATAATAATTAATTCTGTCTACTGATTTAGCTAATTATCTGCATTCTTTTTACCATCATAAATAGTTAGCCCTTTGGTGGGAGAGTGAACTATTTCTCAATCCTATTTGTATAACCATATAGTACTATATATATGCTGTGCTGCATGCGCAGTCGCTTAGTCGTGTCCAGCTCTTTGAGACCCCATGGACTATAGCCTGCCAGGCTCCGCTGTCCGTGGAATTTTCCAGGCAAGAATACTGGAGTGGGTTGCCATTTCCTTCTCCAGTATATTAGGCCAGAAGTCAACAAATATTATGTCTACGTAGTAAATAAAAAACAAAGACCCCGCCCCTCTCCCCACCAAAAGTTCTCAGAACTAGAGCATGTGTATGTGTATGTTCGTCGCTCAGTCGTGTTTGACTCTTGGTGACCCCGTGGACTGTAGCCCGCCAGGCTCCTTGTCCATGGAATTCTGCAGGCAAGAACACGGGAGTGGATTGCCATTTCCTTCTCCAAACTTCCCCTCATTTCCTTTGCGTGTCATCCCTTTGCCTCATGGTCATTTGGGACTGCCGCCTTTGTGTCTTTGTTTTTCTTCTATGACACTCTGATTATGGACACGCCTTTAAAAAATTATAACTCGATTTAACAATTGAATTCAATTAATCTAATAATGTAATTTAATCTAATTAATTATTCTAATTTAATAATGAAATGCAATAACTTAATAATTAGAACTCAATACTTCTGATTGACCTCAGGACAATAGTTTGTCCTTCCTGAAATAAAATCAAAGCTTTATTCAGTGTCCTTCAAGATCTGATAGTAAGTCACATGTCACCCTCCTCACACTTTGTTACAGCCATCCCAGATATCTTTGTCCCAGCAATGGCCTTTCTACATGGAATGTTTTGTCCTTTCTCCTCCTCTCCATCTTTGGCTGTGTTACTCCTTACCTACTAGAGTCAAGATAAGACCCTACTTCTTTCCATTCCATCTCCAGCCCTAGGCTGGATTAAGCCTTTCTTCTTTGTGATATAGTAAATAATAAAGATCAGAATCAAGCTTGCTGGAATCAAGATTTCTGGGAGAAACATCAACAACCTCAGATAATGCAATAAAGCAGAGGACACCACTCTTATAGCAGAAAGTGAAAAGGAACTAAAGAGCCTCTTGATGAGAGTGAAAGAGGAGTGTGAAAAAGCTGGCTTTAAACTCAACATTCAGAAAACTAAGATCATGGCATCTGGTCCCATCACTTCATGATGAATAGAAGGGGAAAAAGTGGAAGCAGTGACAGATTTTATTTTCTTGGGCTCCAGAATCACCATGGATGGTGACCACAGCCATGAAATTAAAAGATGCTTGCTCCTTAGAAGGAAAGCTATGATAAAACCAGACAGCATATTAAAAAAGCAAAGACATCACTTTGCCGACAAAGGTCCATGTAGTCAAAGCTATGGTTTTTCTAATAGTCATGTATGGAGGTGAGAGTTAGATCATAAAGAAGGCAAGTGCTTCTCAAACTTGATCATGCATCAGAATCACCTGGAGAACTGGCTAAACCATGGCTCACTGGTCCCCATCTCTTGACTTTCTGATTCAGTAGCTCTGGGATGGGTCCTGAGAATTTACACATATGACGTTTCCAAGTGACACTGATGATGTTACTGTGGGCACCATACTTGGAGAACCACTGCTTTAAATAATCTAGTTATCCTCTCTCGGCTTTATTTTTACCATCTTATGGGGTCTCAAAGAGTCAGACATGACTGAGCGACTTCACTTTCACTTTTCACTTTCACGCATTGGAAAAGGAAATGGCAACCCACTCTAGTGTTCTTGCCTGGAGAATCCCAGGGATGGGGGAGCCTGGTGGGCTGCCATCTATGGGGTCGCACGGAGTTGGACATGACTGAAGCGACTTAGTAGCAGCAGAAGCAGCAGGTTCGTCCTGAGATGCTTCAGTCGTGCAATGACTCTGGGTTATATGACTCTGCAACCCTGTGAACTGTAGCCTGCCAGGTTCCTCTGTCCAGGGATTCTCCAGGAAAGAATACTGGAGTGGGTTGGCTCTTCAGGGGCAACCCGGGGATTGAACCCGTATCTCTTAGTCTCATGCGAGTTCTTTACCACTAGTGCCACCTGGGAAGCCCCTTATCATTTACAAAGTGAACTTAAAAAAATTGTGTTTGTTATGAATAGTACCCAATGCCAGTTAATATTGCTTCTGCATCATCATTGCTTTCACCACACTATTAAATTGCAGACTGAACAGACCATTTGTCAAGTAAATCAGGAAACTCATAATGAGCAGAGACTGTGTTAGTGTTATTATTGTACTGTATGAAGTGCGTTAGTAAGCACTAGATAAACATATAATGGAATAAGTTCAAAGTAAGAGCATTCCATAAATATTTAATAAAATGAACTTGGGCATGTCTTCATAGATAGCCCCTGTGCAGATGGTTCCATGAGTCCCTAGTGATGGCTCACTGTATTCCTGGTTTTCTTGAGACAGTTTCTGCTGCTTCATTCCTAAATCACTTTTGATTATGGTGAATCAGTCCCCACAGCTTCTAAGAAAATTATACAAGCAACATGGAGAATTTCTGTAAAAGAGTAATAAGTAACCACATAGACTATTCATTGGCCCTGTAGTTACCGTTTCATAATGAATGGAAGCAGTTGCAGCCTGAGCATATGCCTGCATTTAACACTGAAAATGGGTTAGAAATTAACATGTGAGGAATTTAATTTACAGTTCTTGGCAAATTCATGAAGCCTGTTCTTTTGAGAAACGGTGCCTGCCTTTACTGTCAGCCTGAACCGCCATCCTCCTCTTTGACCTCAGAATCTCATATTTCACATTCACTCATTAGTTCAGCAAATATTTTGTTTCAACTTCTGCTATGCGGCAACCATTATTCTCATGGTGGAGATGCCATACTGAGACAAAGACCCTTCTCTACAGAACCTAAAGCACGGCATTTGCCAACTTGTACTAAATTGTTTGCGTTGGTATCTGTCTTCCTCGCTAGGTTGTGAACTTACTGATGGTGGATACATTGTTTGTTTGATCCCTGTGTATCCAGATCAATATTCGGTACATGGTGGATATTCATAACATATGGATTATTGCTCATACAGAATGACTTTATTTTACCGGTGGTGAGAAGTGGAACTGAGCCCCAGAGATCAAACACTGCTGGTCTCAGAGGATTTGGCACTTTGACCTGCAAAATGTTGTTTGTTTGAATTTCAATTAAGGCCAGCCAGTAAAACGTGGAAGATTTTACATAACTATCCAAATCTCTAGCTTCTTTTGAAAAAGCTTACATTTCTGATTCCTTCTCATCATCCTGCTCCTTTAGAAAAAGCATGACTCCTCCATTTCTCTGTAACCCTTACCACTCCCTACTGTATTACACATGTGTAAGTGTGTATATGAACATGTGTATCATGTTTGTTTACATGGCTGAGTGATTAGGAAAGAGTGAGATTCTTCAAATTCTACATAAACCCACTGAAAGTTGGTCTTGATAATCTTATAACAACCTTAAGTCCAACCAGAAATAATACCTTATTCTTTTTTTTTCTTCAATGATGTAGAATGGTAACAAGAATTTTGCTTTCATTTGCAATATAAGTGTATTAAGTTATTGATCTAAATTTTCTCCAACTTGCCTTTCTGCATTTTTACAGTAGATTTCCTATATTTCTCAGATCAACATGATAATTGCCAGCTATTCTTCTATTGTGATATATACTCCCATCCAAAGTAAAATATATATGGTTTGGGTTTTTCCCCTGTCTTATGATTATTGAACTTTTTATTTGGCTTGGTTTTTTTTTGATCATAGGAGATTAGAACTCTTAAAACTAAAACTGAATTTAAATTATAGTTTATCAAACTAAACCTATTCATGCTTTGTTTCAGCTATCTTTAAAGAGAAGAGGAAGCAAAGATTTGCCAAAATCTGAAAAAAAGGCTCAGCAGACTCCCACAGAGGTATGTGGAAATAAAATTTCAACTAGTATATCAAACACCTCTAAATGTACATAATGATAAGCTACATCTATATGTAGACATAATAATGAGACATACTTGTGTAAAACAGAATTACATTATGTGTATCCATTATGCAGCTGTAAATGCAGGAGGCAATATAAAGCATTCAGTATCTTTGCTTAAAAAACTATCACTAACGTCCCTGTTACTATTGCTTTTGTATTGTAATCACATAGCAAAATGTCATTAGCACTTTATGTGTTGCTGCATTTAAGAACTGTACCCATGTTGTAATATTGTTCACCCATAATTAATAAGGACATTAGAATAGCTGTTCCTATAGTATCAGGAGAGGAGAAAGAAAGGAATGTTGTAGGAAAGATGGCAGAGGGAAAAGAGAGACTCATGATGTCTTTGGAGAGTCCCAAAATGAAGTAATTCTCTCCACCATGATTGGGGGAGCCAAGAAAAGAAATGAAGGAATAAAAATAAAACTTAAAACATGTCCTCAACATGGGCTTGTTAAGAACCTTAGAAACACAGCCACAGTAAAGACTAGCTTTTATGGTGAGCAGAGGTGATGGTGGATGTAATAAAGGAGATTTTAAAACAGAAGACAAGATATTTAGGGGCAGCTATGACATCATGGCTCGCTAAAAATACCTGGCTAAATATTTATTTTCACAGGTATAAACTGGGATCTATAATACTATAGCATATGTACTTTTTTTTTTCATTTTTACAAGGTATTTTCTCATTTGGTAAGAATTTTAACTAAAGCAATGTTTAAATATTCAAAATTTGGAAAAGTTGATCTCACTCTTTCTTAAAAGCATAACATAGTAATTGTTACATTTCCTATTCTCTCTCTCTCTCTCCCCTCTCTGTTCATTTTCCCCTTGGTACAGACATGAACATTTATAGGCCTCAGCAGTTCTAGAATCCCAGAGTCTCCTACCAAAGTTATCTGTCTTGTGCGTGCGTGCTAAGTCGATTCAGTCATGTCTGACTCTTTGTGACCCCATGGATGATAGCCCACCAGGCTGCTCTGTCCATGGGATTTCCCAGGCAGGAATACTTGAGTAGGTAGCCATTCCCCTCTCCAGGGGATCTTTCCCAACCAGGGATCAAATCCAGGTCTCCTGCATTGCAGGTGGATTCTTTACAATCTGTACCTGTCTTATCCTCACTTAATAAGTTCATATATGCTCTGTCACCACAACTCTCTCACTCTGTCTTGCCATAATTTTATCCATCAGTTTTCTTCCCTGACCTCATTTAGGGAGAAGGTGCTTTATACTCCCTGCTTTAAAGTCTTAAGTCAGCTTTAACCAACAGTTCATTTTTTTTAACTTCTGTTTATCCTATTCTTATACTTGCCATGTTAAGTTTGTTTATTCTTTTCACCCATATTTTCTAATCCAGGAATCCTTAAGTGCTTGTTCCTAGCTCTGTGGATCCCCACTCCATGTATTTAGGCACTTTTCTCCAAAAGACACATGCAGCTTCCATCAGCTTTTCAGTGGGACCTGGGGCCTGCATTGCAGGCAGGTTCTTTACTCTTTGGGCCACCAGGGAAGCCCCCATATTGTAGCCCAGGGCCATCTTATTCAGCTTGTGTTCATCAGGATCAATACACACTTTTGAATACTTCCATGTACTCCTTTTCTAGATGAGCCATATGAAATTGCCAACATGCAGTTGATTCTGACCTACCCAAATGGCAATTTCATATGGTTCAACCTGCTACTATTGGATAGCTTTGTATTTCATTTTCTTCACTTTCTTCTATGTATTCCCCACATATTCCTCCAGTGGCACAGTGACTTTATATACTGAGAAATGGTCTTACAGAACAGTTAAAAACAGTAACTTTAGGACTAGGTTGCCTACATGGAAATCCTGCCACATACCAGCTGCATGACCTTAGACAAATTACTTATTCTTTCTATGCCTGTGTTTCCTCATCCTTAAAATGGGGTCATAATAGAGAGTTGTTGCACAGATTAAATGAGTTGTTGTTGTTCAGTCACTCAGTTGTGTCTGACTCTTTGTGACCCCATGGACTATACAGCACACCAGTCTTCCCTGTCCTTCGTTATCTCCTGGAGTTTACTCAAACTCATGTCCATTGAGTTAGTGATGCCATCCAACCATCTCATCCTCTGTCGTCCCCTTCTCCTCAGTCTTTCCCAGCATCAAGGTCTTTTCCAATGAGTTAATACATGTAATTTATTAGAGTGCAGTTTAGTTCTAGAAATGGCTAAGTTAAAGCTAAGCTCATCTCTCTTCTTTGGGCTTTCACCATCTTAATGTTCCCCTTCCTCTTATGGTTCTTAAGAGTGAGTCTTTACCATACAAAAAAAAAAAAAAGAGAGATCTTGCTTTGCATCTCAAAGCATTGTAATGTTTCTTGACTGCCATTAGTTGTGGAAAATAGAAGCAAGCATTTCTGATCAGTTACATTTCAGTATTAAAAAGCAGAGACATTACTTTGCCAACAAAGGTCCATCTAGTCAAGGCTATGGTTTTTCCAGAGGTCATGTATGGATATGAGAGTTGGACTGTGAAGAAAGCTGAGTGCTGAAGAATTGATGCTTTTGAACTGTGGTGTTGGAGAAGACTCTTGAGAGTCCCTTGGACTGCAAGGAGATCCAACCAGTCCATCCTAAAGGAGATCAGTCCTGGGTATTCATTGGAAGGACTGATGCTGAAGCTGAAACTCCAATACTTTGGCCACCTCATGCGAAGAGCTGACTCATTGGAAAAGACCCTGATGCTGGGAGGGATTGGGGGCAGGAGCAGAAGGGGACAACAGAGGATGAGATGGCTGGATGGCATCACCGACTCCACCAGTGGCATCATGGACATGAGTTTGAGTAAATTCCGGGAGTTAGTGATGGACAGGGAGGCCTGGTATGTTGCTATTCATGGGGTCGCAAAGAGTCAGACACGACTGAGCGACTGAACTGAACTGAACTTTTCAACCAGGCACTTTCCATACAATCTCTGATTTAATGATTTCACATTTACATACGGGATTTCCCTGCCCAGTTCCAAATGGTGCCTACAATACATGGGTTACAGGATGAGGATGCAAGATACCTTGACATATAGGATTCTGACATACAGGATGCAAGGCACATTGACATATAAGATTCATGACTTTGCTACATGCAATACATGTCCAACTCATAACATACTTTTAATGTTTTCATTCCTTTGGACAGGAGAGTTACACATACACAAATCAGATATCCTCCTCTTTTATATGTGCTTGTTATTCTGTTCCAATCTATGACATATATATTAAACGTTGTTGCTGTTTTAGTTAGATACAAACTGCAGTATTATGTGGACATTTTTTTTTTTTTACTAGCAACTGAAGGCCTTCCTTGCAGTCAAGGACTTTGACAGAACATGGAGCCTAGCTGGTTTTCCCATCTCACCTACTCTTAACTTCCTGACAGAACCTAGCCTAGGTAAAAGCATACTCGGCATGCATATTGTTGGGCACCTTTCTTTTCAAGCATTATTTCTATTTCTTGGCTTTAATGACTTTGTCCTGCTCCGGGCTCCAACTTTTGATCATTTCTTTTCAGTCTCCCTTTCTTTTCTTCTCCCCTTTGATTGCCTCTGAAGCCAGTGCAATAGCCTCAACCATCACCTCTGTGCATCTCATCCTCATGTCCTCCTTTCTGGGCGCAAGCTGTCTCCAGTCCAGGGCTGCAATCTTGCTAATCGTGGGCCTGAGATTCCCATTGATAGATGTTTCTACTGGGTATCCCTCTGTGGATACACCTCAAAGGCAACATTTTAATACACTTAAGCCCATATTCTTCCCCTAAAAGCTGATCCTCTTTGTTCAGTCTCTGTCCCTGTTACTAGCAACACAATCCATCAAGACACCTAAGCTCAAAAACATCAGGGTTATCTTTGACTCTTCTGCTGATGTGGTATTAGACACTGTAATATGTCCTTAGACTTGTGCCTCAGATGGTAAAGAGTTCATCTGCAATGCAGAAGACCTGGGTTCAACCCCTGAGTTGGGAAGATCCCCTGGAGGAGGGCATGGCAATCCACTTCAATATTCTTGTCTGGAGAATCTCATGGACAGAGAAGCCTGGTGGGCTAGGTCCATGGGGTCGCAGAGGGTCGGACATGACTGAGCGACTAGCACACACAACATGTCTTTGGTTTCATTCTCACTGAATTAGTCCAGGGGACCTCCACACATAGTCTCTTGCAAGGCAGCTTCTTTCTTTCTTGGTGAAATGGATTCTCATATCTAATCTTCCTGTGACATATATTCTTAACCCCTTTCTCTCACTGTGCTCCTGGGGTTCTCTCATCTCTGGGCATCTCTCCTTCCTTGTGAACCCCTTCTAGAGGAAAGCGTACAAGCCAGCACATCTGATTTTGTTATTTTAACTCATTGTCCTACTTTTTCCCTCTTGCACATCGTTTCTAGAGGCATCATGTGCAGTGGAAAAACATGATTTTGAGAATCAGTCTGAATACAGATGTTCTCTGTCACATTAACTTGGGCTCTTCCATGAAGCTGCCTTATCTGTAAAGTAGACATCATATATCACCTTCCTCGTGGGGCTAGTGTGAGGATGTAATGATGTAAAGAATATGACATTAAGGGTCTACACACTCAGCAGCTCTCAGACCTTCATACTAATTCTCATTAGTGGACGGGAGCATAAGAGCCCTGTGCCCTGCTCTCCCTCTCTTGCATCTGGAAAGCTCTGGGCTGTATTTACTGAGCATCCCTGGCAGAAACATCGTTATTCTCCTCACCTTCACCTTCCATGGTTGCTACATTTTTACCAGAATTCATCTCAAACACAGCTGACTCAGTGCTGGAAAAGAAAGGCATTTTAATTTCTTTTTGAAATGAAGAAACCAAAGTCTGCTGAAGTCACGTGATATGCCCAAAGTGCCTGCCTAAAAGAGAATTTTGGGAAATCGTCCTTGGGAAACATGTCCTTGGGAAATATGTTCTTGGACATTATAATGTGCTTTTATATTAGCTCTCAGAGAAAGAGTTGTTTCCATTTTTCTGTTTGTAATTTTCCATTTAATGATTAGGGTTTGAAGGGTGTCTTACAAATATGTGGGAAGAACTTCTATAGCAGCAGTCCCCAACCTTCTTGGCACCAGGGACCAGTTTTCATGAAAAGTGAAAGTGAAAGTCACTCGGTCGTGTCTGACTCTTTGTGACCCCATGGACTATACAGTCCATGGAATTCTCCAGGCCAGAATATTGGACTGGGTAGCCTTTCCCTTCTCCAGGGGATCTTCCCAACCCAGGGGTCGAACCCAGGCCTCCCACATTGCAGGTGGATTCTTTACCAGCTGAGCCACAAGGGAAGTCCAAGAATACTGGCGTGGGTAGCCTATCCCTTCTCCAGTGGATCTTCCTGACCCAGGAATCGAACCAGGGTCTCCTGCACTGCAGGCAGATTCTTTACCAACTGAGCTATCAGGGAAACCAGTTTTCATGGAAGACAGTTTTTTCCACAGACAAAGGCATAGTGGGCGAGGATGGTTTCAGGATGATTCAAGTGCATAACATTTATTGCACTTTATTTCTTTTATTATTATATCAGCTCCACCTCAGATAATCAAGCATTAGATCCCAGAGGTTGGGGACCCCTGTTCTATAGGATCTACTCCATCATTCTTTCATCAGGCAGAACCAGTTTTATCCTTTCAGACTGATGGGAATACATCACATTTTAAAAGTGATCTAGGCAGAACCAGTTTCTTCTTGGATGGACCATTCCTGTGTTAAACTTTACCTATTGTTAAAGGCTTTAAAAACAATTCTCCCTTGAATAAAGATGGAGGATAGATTATTTTCTGTATGGCTCCATGATCATGTGCCTAACTGAGCCTTAGTGTCAGAACTGAATTCAAATTTCACCATGGTCCTCTGCCACTTAATAGCCGTGTAACCTTGAGCAATTTGTTGAACATCTTAAAACCAGGTGTTGTAATACTGACTCCCAAATTTACTCTCCACATTAAATTAGGTCATATATGTTGAGAACTTTATAGACTCTGACTAAGAGTCAGAGCTCAATAAATGGCAGGGAGTGCATACCAACCACATCTTCCTTCCAGGGAATGTTTTACATATTTACTACAGTCCGGGGAATTCAAACCCCAAGAAAAACAAAGCAAAGTGAACACTGTTGAAAATGACAGTCAAAACCAGTTGTATGCAGTGGAACATATCATTTTCTGAACACTGATGACCACAGTTTTTCTGTTCTTATATTCCCTTCTCTTTTTGTTTCCAGCATATAATGTCCTGATCTTTTATTTGCCAAAGAATTTAAATGATTTGGAGAAAACATACAGGATCTATGTCTCTGTCTCTCCCTCTGTCTTATTAAAGCTTAATTACAAGGAAAGGGAATGATTTCTGCAGGTGTCCCTTTTGGGGTGGTTTTCTTTCTTTACATGAAAAATGAGCTTCTATCCCCTTCCTCTTTTTTTTCCCACTTGAGGAGGACAATGAAGATCTGAAATGCCAGCTGCAGTTCGTGAAGGAAGAAGCCGCTCTGATGAGGAAGAAAATGGCCAAGATTGACAAAGAAAAGGACAGATTCGAACACGAGCTCCAGAAATACCGATCCTTTTACGGGGATCTGGACAGTCCTTTGCCCAAAGGAGAAGCCGGGGGCCCGCCCAGCACCAGAGAAGCCGAGCTCAAGCTGCGGCTGAGGCTGGTGGAGGAAGAAGCCAACATCCTCGGCAGAAAGATCGTCGAACTGGAAGTGGAGAACCGAGGCCTGAAGGCGGAACTGGACGACCTGCGGGGCGACGACTTCAACGGCTCGGCCAACCCCCTGATGAGGGAGCAGAGCGAATCCCTGTCGGAGCTGCGGCAGCACCTGCAGCTGGTGGAGGACGAGACGGAGCTGCTGCGCAGGAACGTGGCCGACCTGGAGGAGCAGAACAAGCGCATCACGGCAGAGCTCAACAAGTACAAATACAAGTCGGGAGGCCACGAGAGCGCGCGGCACCACGACAGCGCCAAGACCGAGGCCCTGCAGGAGGAGCTGAAGGCGGCGCGCCTGCAGATTAACGAGCTCAGCGGCAAGGTCATGCAGCTGCAGTACGAGAACCGCGTGCTCATGTCCAACATGCAGCGCTACGACCTGGCCTCGCACCTGGGCATCCGCGGCAGCCCCCGCGACAGCGACGCCGAGAGCGACGCGGGCAAAAAGGAGAGCGACGACGACTCGCGGCCGCCGCACCGCAAGCGCGAAGGGCCCATCGGCGGCGAGAGCGACTCGGAGGAGGTGCGCAACATCCGCTGCCTCACGCCCACCCGCTCCTTCTACCCCGCGCCGCCGCCGGGGCCCTGGCCCAAGAGCTTCTCCGACCGGCAGCAGATGAAGGACATCCGCTCGGAGGCCGAGCGCCTGGGCAAGACCATCGACCGCCTCATCGCCGACACCAGCACCATCATCACCGAGGCGCGCATCTACGTGGCCAACGGGGACCTGTTCGGACTCATGGACGAGGAGGACGACGGCAGCCGCATCCGCGAGCACGAGCTGCTCTACCGCATCAACGCGCAGATGAAGGCCTTCCGCAAGGAGCTGCAGACCTTCATTGACCGCCTCGAGGTGCCCAAGTCCGCCGACGACCCCGGCGCCGAGGAGCCCATATCCGTGAGTCAGGTACAGTTCTGCCTATTGCGAGCCACGGCGCTGGCGAGGCCGGTCCGCGGAGCCGCGGTCCCCGGAGGGGCGACTCCGCGCACCCACCTCCACGCCCCGCTTTAGGGAAGCCCCAGCTCAGAGCCTCTCTGGGCTTGGAAGCTCCACGGCGCACTTGTTCTTTCACCCTCTCCTTCTTCAGGCCTGAGGTTTTCGTCATCCAGTCGCTTACTGAGTTAATTGTTCCCTCTCTGATCTGTTTCAGAGAGAGATATACCCACGTCTTCCTTCCCCCGGTTTTTGTGTAAAGATGAAAGGATTTCTAAGATACATTATTATTGAAGGTCGACATTTTCAGTATTAACTCTACTGATTCCAATAGATTTTGCTGCAGGAAGATCCCGAATAGAAATCTTCAATTGCTGGTCTGTGGTTTTCGAGCTGAGATTCAAATTAACGTATTCAGAAATACATTTAACGTATTTTTACATCACCAAATGATCAGCACTGATGCATAACTACTGGTGGTGGTGGTGGCTGTATGGTCGCTCAGTCGTGTCCGACTCTATGCAACCCCATAGACTGTAGCCCGTCTGGCTCCTCTGTCCATGGGATTTCCCAGGCAAGAATACTGGAGTGGGGTGCCATGTCCTTCTCCAGGGGATCCTCCCAATCCAGGGATCGAACCTGTGTCTCTTGCATTGGCAGGCGGATTCTTTACCGCTGAGCCACCAGGGAACCAGCGGTAAAGAAAGATGCTTTTGTGTCCGGAGCCCTCCCTACAAGAGGAGCAAATAGAAGCCGCTGTTGTAACTACCACCAGTCAAAGTAACATGGTATTTATTTCTAGAGAAAATCACTGTCGGTTCTATAGCGAAGACCCTCAGGCTGGGGAAGGAGTGCTATACTTTAGCCTTAAGGCAACACTAATTCCGAGAAATAGTAATAACTATTCCCGAACAGGGAAAACCAGCATTTTTCCTTCATCCTAATTGTAGAGGCACATCTGATGAATTGGACTGATCTCCTCTAGCCAGGTATGGTGGCCAAAAACCAATGCATTTTGTCAGAGTTAAGCACAGAAGAGAGAGTTTATAAAACAAACAGGCAGTACAACCCTTCTGGCAAGCCGGGTATCTTGTATCCATTGGAGAACGCACAGGAGAGCAATAGCATGCATGGCTTTTAAGGCACGCAAGAGGTTTAAATCTAAAAATCCGTTTATACACAGAAGCATGATATTAGATTAACTGCCTGTTAGTCACAACTAGAAAAATCCCAGCCCTATCGCTTATTTATCTTGCATGCTGCTTTGCTTTGCTATTTAAAAAAATAAAAAGTTTTATGATAAAACTTGTTGAATTTTGAAATGTTAATGTTTTTTTCTCTGTGTTATATCAAGTAGTTGGTTTTTAATTTCCTTGTTGCGGATTTTGAATACTTTGAGCATGTGTTTTTTTCAATTATACTCTCAGAAAGAAATAGCAATCAGAGTAAGAGAAAGTATGTATATAACAGTTGGCTTTCAGACTTTGTAAGTATATATGAAGGAGGGGTATTTATTTTAAGTTGAATGGATATGTAGATTAGTTGATATAAACTTAAGTTTTAAAAATTATTATTAATTAATTCTTCTTTTTGTCTTTGCGTTTACCTTCCCAGATGTTCCAGCCTATCATTTTACTTATTCTCATTCTTGTATTATTTTCGTCACTTTCTTACACAACAATATTTAAACTTGTCTTCCTTTTTACACTGTTTTTTGTACTGTAAACCTTTCATCATTTACCATTCATTGTAGTATTTCAGTTTGTTTGTTTTGTTCACCCTTCAAGACAAGAAGTAAAAGAAGTATAATTTCTGTAGTAACCAATGCTATAAAAACACTGAAGACTGCTTATTTCTTTAAAAAGACGCATCTTCCCACTACCAAATTCAGTAAGAAGCCTGAGCATTAAATATTTCAGGTAAGAGTGTAAGTATGACTTCTCTTTTTATAAATCATTTTCATTTTTACTACTTTCTTTTACATTTTGATTTGTAGTCTTCATAAATCACTGTAAGAATGACTGTAAACATTTCCCAAGTCTCTCAATTATTTCTCAGCATTTGACTATTATGATAATTCAAAATCTGGGCATTCACAAGTTGGTCACATCTTAGAAAATGTATAGATTTATAAAGTGCTTTTGCTCAGTTGCATCAGATGAACAAAATAATTTTGATATCCAATAAGTATCAGTGAAAATTATGGGTTAGGGTTAGGGTTAGGGTTAGGGTTAGGGTTAGGGTTAGAAATAAAATGTGACCATCATGGAAACTAAACAATTTATTGGATGCTGATGGTGTTCTGTCTAAAACTGAACAAGTCATTGTGATGGTGATGGTGTTTTGTCTACGTGTTTGGAAGCATGAGTGGGTTATGCCTTAGATCATTGAGAAAGGAATTATCTTTGTCCTCTGCATTTGACCAGTTTCAACCATTCCGACCAAACCAACCATATCTGTGTTTACCTATTATGTGTGTGTGTGCTGAGTCACTTCAGTCGTGTCCAACTCTTTGCGACTCCTGGGAGGTAGAACCATGGTAGAACCATGGACAGGTTCCTCTGTCCATGGGATTCTCCAAGCAAGCATACTGGAGTGGGTTGCCATGCTGTCCTCCAGGGGATATTCCCAACCTAGGGATCGAACCCACATGTCCTGCATCGCAGGCGGATTCATTATTGCTGAGCCCCCAGAGAAACCTTTTTACCTGTTATACTTGGAGCCATATGTTGCTAATCAGGTTTGTTGCCTGGCATCCTGTCCTCTGTAATAGGTTACCACGTAGAACTGCTTCTGGAGCAGAAAATATGCTAGAAATACAGTATATGAAGTATTTTAAGTAGGGAAAAAATAGTCATTCTGTAGAATTTCATTAAATCACAGTCCAAAACCAGTAGTGTAGTTCCAGTTGGAGTTGCTCTGTAGACAAACTTAACTTTGGTGAACCTCAGCACTGCCCTTTCTCCTCCTACCTAAAGTGGCCTGGATAGGTTTCCTGTAGCCAAAAGTCCCTATGCTGTCCACCTCACTGGCAGTTTACAGAGTAGAAAACTGGACTCAGTCATGCTGAGTCATGCTGATTGAGTGATTGAGAGCACTCACTGAAGTCACCTACTTAGAAATACTGGTGAGTTGGTGGATAGATATGAAAATCTGTAATAAAATGAAGTGTCTTGCCCTCAGCATAAAGAATGATATATGGAAAATCTTTGCTCTAATACAGAGGTTGGTGCAGGCCACAATCTTTTGAGTCCACATCCCTCAGCATGGATATTTCCCTTTCAGTGTTAATTTAGTAAAAAGAAAAACTACATAATAATTAAAAATTGAGTTTAACTCTTTGCGATCCCATGGACTGTAGCCTGCCAGGCTCCTCTGTCCATGGAATTCTCCAGGCAAGAATACTGGAGTGGGTTGCCATGTCCTTTTCCAGGGGATCTTCCCAACCCAAGGATCGAACCCAGGTCTCCCACTTTGCAGGCGGATTCTTTACCATCTGAGCCACCAGGGATACCTACTCCTAATGTACATGATTTTTAATTTAATTTTAGTTTTTGTTTTGTTTTGGGGAAAAAAGTGACTGGGAGTGAGGAGTGGCTAACCAACAGTTAGAATCTGTCAGTACATACTTCCAGCTTTTCATCTTAAGATTTCAAGTGGTTAGATAGAGCCTCATGACAAGAACAAATGAAATAGCATAAATGCTATATTTAATCAATGGTATGTTACTTAAAAAAATTTTTCATCTTAAGGAAAGCAACCACTTTAAAAATCAAAAACTAATTAAAAATCAGAATTTGACTGTTAGACCCTTGATTAGCCCCCAGATTGCCATCTTGGAGGCTTCCCAGGTGGCTCAGAGGGTAAAGAATCCGCCTGCAATGCAGGAGACCCAGGTTTAATCCCCAGATCGGGAAGATCCCCTGGAGAAGGGAATGGCTACCCACTCGAGTATTCTTGCCTGGAGAATTCCATGGACAGAGGAGCCTGTCATGTTACAATCCATGGCGTCATACTACTGAGCAACTTTCACTTTTGCTATCTCAGAGGAATCATTTTGGCAATGGAAGTGGAACTGAAAATAAATGTTTGAGGTGGAAGTTTATGTGAGATATTTATTGCCTTTGGACTGGAATGCAGTCAGCTAAGCAATGACTGTCTCATCTACCTGTGAAGCATCTGGTAGTTTATGGTGTTTTAGGTTCCAGTCACAGTGACTGAAAGCTCTAGGCATTTAGAGGAAAAGGGCCAGAACTTCAAATACGTGTCATTCCCAGATTACTCGCTTTGTCCCTGTGAGGAAGCATGGTGTGCAGTGCACTTGTTCACTTCAGAAATGTCATGGATATTCAGTATCCTGTGTGGCTTTAAGAAACTGACTTTGGAATTGAAATTATCTTTACCACGAGGAGAATCAAGAACTAAATATTTATATTAGTGGTTTTCAATCCTAGCTGCACATCAGAATTCCTGGCTTGTTTTTAGAACTGAGATGCTACTTCACATTAATTGAAATCCAATATATGAATCCAAGCAGATACATATATATATATTTTTTTTTAACTCCCAAGAACCACTTCTTTAAATGTTTGAATTATTAAAATATGTATATAATGTATATACAGCATATATACCAATGTCACAGCAAACTGTGTGTGATATTAGCTATATAGAATCATGGGTTGTCTAGATTTTAGTAGACCTTAAAATTCCAAGCATTCAGTGAACATCTGTATCCTCTTTATAGAGCATGTCTACCTTTGTCATATGGCCTTTGCCACAAGACCTGTAATGACAAAGCAACTCTGTTTCCATACTGCTAATAGTGTTCGAAAATTCCCCCTTTCATTCAAACAGGTTTTTGAAAGAAACAAAGCTAGAGAAGACAAATCAGAATAATATGTGTCAGAAAGGAGAACCATGATGAATATTGTGTGTGTCAGGGTCATACACACACCTGGAGATATCAGCACACGTGAACGCTGAATTAAAACCTCAAGATGATCCCCCCGCCCCCCAACGCATCATAACAAACACCACTTTGTCGTTACACAATCATCTCTGCCACAAAGCTTCCCCATGTGATCCACAGAGAGGATATTGTGTCCCACAAATCCACCAGGGATAACGGATGCCAACTGACTCTACCCTCCAAACCAGATAGAGCATGGATCCTTTGTTTATTTAACACACATTTTGAAGTATTGGCTGTGTTAGGTATAGAGGAAATTGAGGTTCAGTTTTTATGTTTTCACAGCTTTCAACTGGCTGATTGACAAGGACAGAGATGTAGACAGCTAACTCTGACATGTATTCTTACGAAGTGCAAAAAAAAGATTTGTGGTTGAAATTTGTTCTTTATTGCATACCTGATAGCGTGTTAGATTTCCCTAAGAGAACACAGTAAAACCCCAAAGCATTCTTGAATGGAAAAATACAGGAATCAGTGCAGGGGTAGGCTTCCCACGTGGCGCTAGTGGTAAAGAACCTGCCTGCCAATGCAGGAGACTCAAGGGATGTGGGTGTGATCCCTGTGTCAGGAAGATACCGTAGAGGAGGGCATGGCAGCCCACTCCAGTGTTCTTGCCTGGAGAATCCCATGGACAAAAGAGCCTGGTGGGTTACAGTACATAAGGGTCGCAAAGAGTCGGACACGACTGATGTGACTTAGCATGCGTGCAGTACATGTATCAACGATATCTTGTGACCTGAACAAGAAAGAAGAGGCTAACCAAGGCAGATTCAGGCTATCCAAAACATCATCCTTGTCCTCAGATCTCTTGTGAAGCATTAAAGTCTTCCTGGCAACAGTGTTATTAATCTTACCTGTGGATTCCTAAGCCATTGACTTTATAGAAGAATTTCATGAGAAATTTGAACTCCATCCAGGCTCTTTGTATATGAATCCCAGTAAGAAAAAGATGAGGGGAGATAGTACTGACTTGGAGACTCATTCCGACTCTGCCCCACCCACTGCAGAACTGATTACCCAGTTTGTGCCTGTGTGTGCACACACATCTTTATACACTGTGATGTACAATGGGAAATGCAGCCAGTGTCAGGGAATTCAGGCCTGACTCTATCTCAGGGCACTGCTGGGGGCCAGTAATTGGAAGGTGGTCTCAGCAAACTGCCAGCAGACGGACGTTAACCTTGTCCCTTGCCGCCTTCTCCTTGGAACATGAGGCTGTACTTTGAGCACCCAGGATCTAGGGTGAATGTCTTCCTTACAGTGCAGGATATAGTCATGGAAAGAACAGTTAACAGAGATGACTCCCAAGACCTCAGAAAGGAAGTCTCTGGTATCTCCCTTCTCCGTCTCTTTGATTCTGTTCCTTGCATGGTCTTTGTTGTATAAAGCTAGTTCTAAGAGAGGAACATCCAGGCTCCTTTGTTCATGAAGAAAACACAGTCCTCCAGTTATTGAAACAGGGACTCTTCTCCTCTTTGCACCTTTGAAAACTGTGCTATTTAAATATCACCCTGAAAATAAATTCAAACAAACAAAAATTCCATTGCCTGCACATTCTTGGGTGTAGGAAGGAGTGACTTTGGTAATTTGGCCGAGATTTAAGAAAAAAAGAATTCAGTTGGCTATTTTTAGGCAGAACAGGCTCAAACTCAAAACAAGGGAAAATTCAGTGCTGAGCCTGGAATGTGTATTGGCCTGCATTCCCCAGCCTTCATTTCATTCTGTGTGGTAGAGTGGGATACTATTATTTTCG